TATGACATTAATTTCATTCAATGCTGTCCTATAGCAAGGGTCCTTAAAACCAATCAGAAATGTGAAAGAAAGGACAAATGCTAGTAAGATCTTCCTTACAATCTTTTCATTCATTATACTCTTTCTTCTGAGCCATCTCAAAAATTTAGGCAGTCTGAGTTACTGAAAACATTTTTTACTTCAGATATCAAGGAAATTTTAAAGGGCAACTTCCTAATTTAATTAAACTATAATTAAAGTGGTCAGTGTGAACAGGATATTGTTTGGGAATAAGTCATTTTTCGGTAAATAGTGAAAAGTGACAAAAATTAATGAAGTTACCAAAAATAAAAATTGTTCTAAAGCACTTAATATTTTATAACTTTTTTATAACACCACCTCCAAAATAAGAATGGGGGGCAGAATAATATCAGTGAGGCAGAAGGCAAAAAGTTCTACAAAGTTTGAATTTCAAAATTATATTTATATTTTGAGGGAAAATTATAATTATAGGTAACAGACTCATACTATTAGGAAAGTAGGTCAGTAGGATCATTTTATAAGCAACATAAAATCTTACCCTGTCAGCAAAAATCACTCCTTTAATGATTATTCTCTTTCTCTGTAGTTTGCCTATATCCCTGGTGGGAAAGTTCTAAGTCTTATCACTGCCTCTATACATCAATCCCTTCCTTTTTACTTATTTACATATTCATTTCTTTTTGGTTTTTTGAGTCAGAGCCTCAAATATATAGTCCAGGCTGGCCATGAACTCACTTGAACTCATGGCAATGCTCCTGCCTCAGCATCAGTGCTGGGATTGAGATTACAGGTATACCAGGCTACTTCCCTTCCTTTTTAAAACCACCTTCTAATCATCCTTTTCATTCCTTTTTCCTACCAGTGCCAGTTTACAACCTTGAATTTTAACATTTTACAAAATATCTTCACAGACATATACAATCAGGGGGCAGAAGTTGAACTTGTCATGGCATTAACATCAAAGAAACTCCTGAAATTTAGAAAAGGCCTGTCTACAATGTCTCAACTATACCCTCCTTGAGAGATAAACAAGGCTACCTTCAAGCCCAATCCCACAACAATCCTAAATTCTTTGAAACTAAAAATAGCTCTCTTGTTGTCTCCTCTGCCAGCAGATGGTCAGACTATTTTTAATTCAGGATTCTCCAGAGCAGGAGTGTTATCAAACTAAGCTAGGGCAGCCTAGACACCCTTAAACCGCAGAGCTCACAGTTGACAGCAGAAAACTCTGAGAAAGCAGGTACCAAGAGAGGGCAACCTAGAGTTGTTCCTGGGCCTGAGGACTTAACATCAACTTTAACAATGAGGGATGGGGCTGTCTTTTTCTTTTTTTTTAAGCCATTCTTCAAAATAAAATCTGACAAGTAGGAAAATGTGAAGTAAGATTTAAATAATTCTGTATACCTTTTAAAGGTTTATTTTCCTTTCATGAAAATAAAAGTTCTTTTACATAGTATCTTTCAAAGTGGGTTTTAAGGTATAATAGACAATGTGAAACAGGAAGAAAAGGGGCGAAGGGGAAGTGGGGAGGGGTAGGGGAAAGGAAAGAAGGGAATGGAATAATATGAGAAAATGAAAAAAGGCAAAGTCTGTAAATAGGGAGGGATAGAGGGGTTGAAGGGAGGGCAGGGGAAGGGGGAAAATATAAGAACCAAGAGATTATGTAAAGGTGCAAATTTTCAATGATGAATGTCATTATATTGTATACGTAAAATGTAACAATAAAAGGATATATAAAGAAAAAAAGTGGGTTTTAATAAAAATCTCTAGTCTAGATATTTTCTAAGTTACACTTTCAGGCCAAAAAAATGTTCTCATGAGCTGGGCGTGGTTGTGCATGCCTGTGATTCCAGCACTCTGAGGATGAGAGAGGAGAAACTCTGCCAAGTTCAAGGCCAGCCTGAACTACATAGTGAGACCCTGTCACAAAAAAACAAAACCAAACAAACAAAAACTGTTCTTAAGAATACATGCTAAGCGTTAATTTCACAAGTATTTATAGAAAACTCATTTTTAACTGTTCATTTTTGTTAAAAGGTGGCTGAATTGATTTTGAATACCAATAATTATATGCCAATAAGGTGATTTTCAAATACCAAAAAGGGGCTAAAAGTCTGGTATACCACATATTTTTTTGCTTGCTGCCCATCTCCTGTCATCTCCATGTCAGTATTAAATAAACATCTGAGGGGGAGAGAACACAGGCAGGCATATTTTATAAGGGTTATAACAGCAAAGGCAGGCATGGTGGCACATACCTGTAATCCCAGCTACTGAGCTGGCAGAGCCAGGAGGATCGTAAGTTTGATGCTGGTCTGAGCAATTTAGACCCTGTCTCAAAACAGAAATTAAAAATAAACAAAAAAAGCTGGGGATGTAACTGAGCAGTAGAATGCTTGCCTTACATATAAAAGGGCCTAGGTTCAATTCCCAATACCACTAAATTAAAAAAAAAGAGGAGGCGGAAGAGAAGAGGAGGAGGAAGAAGAGGAAAAGAATAGTAGTTATAATAATGGCCACAAAATGACCTCTGTACCTCCACCATCCAATCCCCACATACTCTCTATCTATAGACCAAGGATGACCAAACCAGACCATTTCTGTTTGCACACGTTATCAAGAAACCACACTACACATCAAGAAACCAAAAGGGGCCTGGCACAGGTCTCAACAGTAAAGAAGGAAAGAAAAAGCTGTAAGTTTCCAGGGACAATATACATTTGGAGATTTCAACTTACTGCAAGAGATTAAACTTTCTGAAAAGATGAAATAGGTTCTCCCACTGACCTATGTTTTAAGTGACGATGCAGATGGATGACTGGAAAGAAGAAAGTTCATCAGGGATTCGCTACTATGAGACTGCACATTGAGATTTTACTTTGTAGGAAGTTAAATGTAACTTTTATGAAATATGGAGAAAATACTTCACACATCTTAAATACCCTGGTGCCTAGTCCCTGCGTGAGTAGGCACAGTCCTCCAAATAAGCTCTCCTTATATATGAAAGGGACAAAGAAAGAAGAATAGAACACCTGGTACAGCTGGAACACAGAGCACCACGTAATTTCCACATCTAGAAACGACAGGGACTCATTTAAAGAGCTATGGGCCCTCCAAAGATGCCAATCAAGAGTGGCAGAAAAAAAAAAAAAGGGTGGCAGGAATACTAAATGCACAAGTTAGCAGAAAAGTGTTTTCATATTCATAGCACATTTGAGGGGATGTAGCCATGCAATCATTAAGTTTAAGACTATAGTTTTACTCAAAAAGAACTTAAGGCTCAGGGACTTGCCTAATACTGCTATGTAACAGAATTGGGATCCCAGACTCTTATTCCCATGAGCTCTCCATTAAAACATGTTTAATTACATTAGCATTTCAGAGAGGAGAAAATACACATATGCACAACACACTGTCTTTCTTTAGCTTGATATTTAGAATTAACACATTAAAAATATATTTTAAAATGGAAAAATCTCAGATCTCAAACACTAAAACTTTAATTTGAATCTCTTATGTTCTTTACCATGCCAAATTATTCATAGACCAACATACAACAATTCTTTTAAAAACCCTAATAATACTTTCCCTCCTGTTACCTGAACATTAGTACTTTAAGGACCCAGGTATAAATTAAGTTTCTGACACTACAAAACTGTCTTCTCATGTATCTGGAACAGTCTTTTATTAGGTACAAAAGTAATAAAATGGGAACTTCTGATCAATGAGGGAGGCAAAAAAACTAAAAAACTAAAGCCCACTGTACTACAAATTCAAAAAATTTTAAGCTGAACTTTCTTCGATGTTTTTCATATCACCAACTTTAACGATCCAGAAAAAAATTGCATAGCATATTATAACAAGTTGAATGGTAATATTCTATTTAATAATTAAAAAGCAAAGTTGCCTTTAATCTGCATTGAGTTCTTACTTAAGCATATATTTATTATGGGTTTTCTTTGCACCTTTAAGAACTTTCTTCCCCCAAAGCCCATTTAACAAGCTTCATTTCCATTTGAACTAACTTATTTCCAGTACTATAAAATAAAGCGTAAACATTAGGAATGTATCTTTGTGTTAAATGTTCTAGTTGCTCCTTCAATTAATGCAAAATATCTGTCAGTGTCCCCTCTTTAACAATGCCTTATCTGCCTACCCTGGCTATAGGTATTGTTGAGATTTTCCCTGCTTTGAGCTTCATTACACTACATCTCTTCCGTCTGAACTATAAATCACCACTGAAGCCTGAGAGCAGCTGCCACTGTCCAGACATGTGGTTAGTGGGTGTCACTGTCTTTTTCATTTTCCCCATTTCAAACCCTCCTTTTCCATGTTATCTAAAACCAATTTATCTGAAGGTTTCTTTCCTTCCCCATTTTCACAATGCCACCCCCCATTCCTTAACCTCTGCTCTTGTTCTTCCAGGTCAGTCCAGTTGGCTACGCATTATTGTTTTTCCTTTGGCGGAGGCAGAGGGAGGTGAGAACCGACTGCACCTCCTGCAAACCCCTTCTGGAGACTGTCAACTAGGGAACTTAAGCCTATCTTCCCAAAGTATCACACCAACCGATAAAGTTATTGTAATTACAATACGGAATCCTTCCCACGCCCAATCTTGACATATCGGGCCCCACCTCAATTTCCAAGCTAATAAACAACAGCTCATCTTCTGCTTCATCACAAAGGGTGGTATCCTCTCCACACTGCAAGGTCCACCTACAAAATCCCTTCTCCAGCTGAACCCTCGAACCCAGGTGCCCCGCGATCCTAAACCCTGCGGCGAATGCCGGAGCCCAGCTGGGTGCCCTTCCTCCTCCACCCCTACTGTGCCACATATCCAGCTGAGTTACTGTCAACTACAGACAGGCAGCGGACAGTTCCGCGGGGCCCCGGGAAGTCGGCGGCGCAGAGCTAGGACAAGCCCCGGCGCCCCCACCTCCCGCAGGCGCCCCCAACCCCCCGGCCTCCTCCCGGCTCACCTAACGCCACCTCGCAAGCTTTGCGCAGCTGGGAGTGATGAGCCTTCTTCACTTCCTTGTCGGCCAAAATCTTCTCCAGGGCCCGAGTCAGAAACATGTTCTTCGTCTTCTTCCCTTCATACATGGACACAGAGGAGGCGGCGGCTCGTCCGATCCGCAGCTCCCACCGGCTGGAGAGGGGCAGGAGAAGGAAGAGAAGAGAGAAAGGACGGGAGGTGGAGGTGGGGGAGAAGAGGCGTGGAGGGCAGCGGCAGAATCAGGAAGGGGCGGGCGGGGCCAGCCCTCGTGCCGGCGAGGGGTCCTCGCCGCCCCCCCGAAAGGCCGCCCCTCGAGAGCCGCGCCTGTCAGGCCTCCGCTTCTGTCGGCCCGGGGGTCTCTTCCAGGTCGCCCCTCTCACTTGTCCCTCTGGCTTGGTGGCGGCGAGGGAGTCCGGCGCGGGCGACCGTCTTCTGAGGGCTGAGGAGGCGGCGGCGACAACTCAGAGGCCCAGCGAGAGCAGAGCTGCTCTGGCTACTGTGGGGATTAGCACCCACCACAGCCGCGGACTGGCTTCCATCACCGCCGACCTGCCCCGGCCGCCATGTTGGAAGGAAACGACGCGTCACGCAGCGGCCAAACGGCTGCAGAGGAGGAAGCGGCGGCGGCGGCGGCGGCGGCGGCGGCGCTGCCTGCTCAGAGCTGCCGTGGCGCCGGGAGGCAGGGGGCGGAGGTCGGCGCGCGCGGAGAGGCTCGAGCCGCAGCGCTACGGCGGCCCGCCTGGGTCTCGCTGCCTCCTGCGTTCCCCTACAGGGCGGCGTGGGGCGTGGCAGGCGCCCTGCAGCTCCGAGACTTACCCTTGGTACTCTTCCCGGCAGCTCAGTGGCAGGACCAGATACCCTGATCCTGCCTCTATTCCAGCCGGATGTATAGGACTTCCTGGCTACTCCACGCCTGCTTCTCTGACTTTTTGGCGATCCCGTCGGTGAGAGCAATCTTTGAGTTCCAAGGGTCACAGACACAACAGCATCGCTCATTTTCAGCCACGCTGGGCTTCCCACCTGCCGCGCTGGACTCTAAATTCCGTTCCTAGACGCAGGAAATTGCTGTCCAGGACCATGCCCTCGACTACCCCGGGGAGGATTCTCTCTTGGGAAAAGTAAGCTAAAAATCAGTTGACAAGGATTCAGAAATGTTTCATTTCTCTGTAGATAAACTCTACATAAAATCTAGATTTTAGATTCTTTCTGAATTGACTCTGAAGTTAAAGTGTGTGGTCCTAAATTTGAGTCATTTGTGGGAAAATGGATGCATCTTGAGACCATAATGTGGAGTGATATAAATCAGACATACAAACTTAAATATCTCATGGTTTCTCTTATCTGAGAAAACCAAAGTATAATAGAAGACCAAAATAGAAATAGTTAATAGGAAACAGAAGTCTTCTTGCAGATTCGTAGGGGACCAAGAGATGAGAGGAAGGAGGAGAGCGAGCGGGAAGGGGACATAAGAATTGAATTAAGATGTGTTATGTACGTGTACCAACTCTCCGTGATGAGTGCACTGCAAACATGTACTAATAAAAATCAAACAATTTTTTAAATTAAAAAAACACCCCGAAAAAATTGGCTTTGCAGGAGAAAAATGTGTGCTTCTGACTGAGATCCCTTAAAGAACTGTTTCTCTATAAAAAAACAGGTTTTAGGTTAAAAAAAAAACATTAAATACAAACATTAACATGTGATTATGTGTCTGCTTTAGTATCAAGAAGAATTCAAATTTCTGCAGTACTCTGAGAAAAACAATGATAAAGAATATGATAAAATACTATATATGCAGACAATTTATATGGTGATCTAGGACCACTGCTCCAAATTCCAATCTACTGTATGGATCAATCAATACAGGATCTTTGATTGTTAGACAGGATCTTCATTGTTCTTTTTCCATTAGATTGCTTTAACTGTGGACTTGACCTAATGCAACCATCCAAAACCACAGATGTAAAAGCTATATGTCAAGATTTGAAACAAGCAATAAGCCATAGGAAATAAAAATGGAAAACTTGAAGGTGACCCAGAATTAATATGGATTAATAGGTTAATTTTTAAATCTTGATTGTCCTGCAGAACAAATCTATAAATTAATTGATTTTGTTTTAAAAACTACCTGTAGATTCTTGGAAATTTAAGATTCATTATATTCCTATATCAAACATAACAGTGATTTTCATGTACACTAGATTATATGCTTTTTGAGAACAAACTCCATTGCTTTTTTTTTTGTACTGGGGATCGAACTTCTGCTTGCAGAGGCAGGCGCAGTGCCAGTGAGCTAAATCCCCGGCCCCCAAACTCCATTTCTAATTTTCCCTTTTTTTGCATAATGTGTCAGGTATTATTGAAAATACTGTCTGATCACCAAGTCCCTTTATGCTGCTGCTTCTTTAGTACAAAATTACATTAACATTCCCCAGCCTCACCTGCAGTCCGATGTAGGCTTTAGGTTTAGTCCATTAAAACAGCAAAAACTTCCCCAAGCTATGCCCCATGATCTTTTTTCCCTTCTATGTTCTGTGGCCATATACTAAACATAACAGAAACATAACTTAGGAATCTAGGTCTCTGAATTACTCTTAGAGCAGAACCACTCACCCATTAGGAACACCTGTTTTGGACTTTACATGAACACAGTAAACTATTTAGCTAGCCTTATTCTGAATGACATACGTGGGATTCCTTAATGAACATTACAGAGATCCTTGCTTTTGAGGATCTCACAGTTTGCCTCTTGGCACATAACACAATTTGTACTCATCTTGTCTGCTTGCTGGTTTATTAATTAGTTGTTTTCCTCATAAAAGCAGGGACCTCATTTGATTTTAAACTGTATACCTAGAATCTACTATATTGTTGGCATAGGAAAGGCCTTTGGTATAAATTCGTTAAATAAAAACTTGGACAAATGAAAGACACTGGGCTAAGTCTGGCACAATATCTACTTTTGTGGAGCTTACATTATGTAGTAGAGAAAGAGATATAATATTAAACAAATCCTAGTGAATATATAATTACAGATTTGTAAAATATAATTAAAGAGTGCTATGAGGCAATCTGCTTTAGATTATGGATTTAGGGATCTCTTCCCAAAAGAAGTGACATTTAAATTGATACCTGAAGAAAGAGGAGAAATTAATTGAACTAAGTCAGTGTAGGGGGAAGCTTGGCAAGTTTCAGAAACCAAAAGTAGTACGGCTAAAAATCAGGATAAGGGGAAAATGTCAGTAAGGATGAAGAAGGAACTAGGAGCAGATCATAGAGAATCTTGCTGGCTCTGTTACAGGTTTGAGATTTTACTCCAGTGGCAGTGGAAATCCATTGAACATTTTAAAGTAGGGGATGAAGTGATCAAATTGGTGATTTATAAAAACACCCAGCACTCTGGGAGACTGATACAAGGGGATCTCAGGTTTGATCCCAGCCTGGGCACATTACAGTTTAGTAAGTCCCTGTATTAAAAGAAAAAACAATCCAAAGACTAACCAGTCAAACAAAAAGGGATATAGAGCTGTAGCTCAGCTCCAAGGCCCTGGGTTCAGTTCAGTTCCCAGCAACACACACACACACACACACACACACACACACACACACACACACACACACACACACGCACGCACACCGTAGCACAAAAATTGAATGGAGAAGGATCCAGAGAGGATGTGACAACAGTGAGGAGTTAATTAAAATAGGATGGCTTGGTCTGGGATCCAGGGCCACCAAGCAAGACTATGTGGAGCCTCAACATATGCATGACCTCAGTGGACCAGTGGTGGCAGTGGAGATGAAACAAAATGGCCAGATTTGAGATACTTTTGTAGCAGAATGGTTAGTACTTTTGCATTGGCATGGAGGTGAGAGAAAGAGGTCACAAATGTATGCTAGGTTTCTAATGAGAACCAGTGAATAGATAGAAATGACTTTTGTAGAGATGGGCTAGGTTGGAATAGAAGCAGATTTGAGGGTGAGGGCTACACTTTTCAATTTTAGAAGAATCGGCTCCTTTGAGATATGACTGACCTTTTCAGAAGGAATGGTTTTCACCCTTCTTTTCTGAGAGGACATTTCCTCTTCCTCCCTTGCTAGGATCTCTGAAAGGTAGGAGTGAGTAGGAGTGGGTTGTAGATAATCTTAGGAAGTGGGCACTCCCACCCACATGAAATGCAATATGTTAACTCTGACCTGGAACAAAATAAGAATTAGGCTTTAGAAAGCTGACATGCTTGAAAGATAAAGGGAGAGGGGCCAGAGATTTAGCTCAGTGGCTCCGGCGCCTGTCTCGCAAGCACAAGTTCCCAAGTTTGATCCCCAGTACCAAAAAAAAAGATAAAGGAAGAGATAATATTTTCAGTCTTTTATTGACAAAAATACACAGGGTGCCATCCTCAGGCAATTTTTATATGAAGTTAGGGTACAATTCCCAGTGCATATGCTTCCTTTTATGTTTTATTAGTATTATTTGATGCTTATACAATTATTTAGATAAATCCAATCTCAGTATTCACTTGGGTTTGACTACTTGCCATTTTCAAAATATTCAAAGTCTATTTCTGACCTTCTGAAATGCCTGTCATCCTCTAATTTTAAAATATATTTTTCTTATACATGATTACTTTTCTCAGTTCATTTTGCCCCTCAGTCTGCAATGTCACCTTCTTATCACCTAATAAACCTACATCACTTTCCCTTTCATCTATAACTTTTTTATATATTGACTTCTTTGACTTTTCTCTTTGAATAAGTTTCCCACTTTGGTTCTAAGAGTCAAATAATATCAAACAATAAAAGATGTTGATTTGAGTTTTAGTGTCTATTGGTATGCTTTATTATCATCCTTCTAAATATTGAGATAAATACAGTGTAACATGAAAATTAAAATCTGAATTAAAAAATTTTTGTGTACTGGGGATTGAACCCCAGGATCTTCACACTGAGCTACATTCCCAGCCCTTTATTTTTTGTTTTTTTGAAACAGGGTCTCACTGCGGTGCTAAGTTGCTGTGCATTTGACTAAAGAAAAAACAAAAAAAAACTATGATGCCTCCAGTAGTCTCTCAATTCTTAGAGCTTTCAAAACATTCCTCAATGTGACTCTTGACTTCTGAAAGGAAGGGAAAAATATTCTTTTTCCCTCTGCTCATCTTAGATTTTTGGGGTAGGGCCCTGCAAATTAGATTAACAAAACACAGACTTATTTATTGCATGTACGCATGAGCATACTCGGTGATGAATAACTCAGAAGGGTTAATGAATAACTTGGGCTTATGTAGCATCTTAATAAAGAATAGTAGATGTGCACTGGTCTGCCTTTGATTGCTAGGACAAAATACCTGACAACCACACCTTATAGGAAGAGAAGTTTATTTTTGGCTCATGATTTATGAGGTTTTGTCCATGGCCAACTGGCTCCAAAGCAGAAACATTATGGTGGAGGGGCATGGCATGGGAAAGGTGCTCAACTTACAGCATTCAGGAATCAGAGCATAGAGAAAGAACCAGAGAAGAGGGCAGGGGACAGGAACTAGATAAAGCTCCCAAGTTCACACACCCCCCCCACCCCCGCTTCCTCCAACTAGGCTCCACCTCCTTAGAGCCCATACAGCTATGAACTTATCAATG